TGAAAGTTTCATTTTTTATCATTACATTATGGAAAATAATGACCTTTATCACAATATGCTAATTTTTTGAGAAGGACCTGTAACTGACCTTAGTATCCTTACTATTTGTTTGTTATAATTGTCTGATGAGCAGTTTCTGCATGCCAGTTATCATAGTGGTTGTATGCACATGGGACAGATAATTTTTATTGAGTATTCAGGGGTTATCATACTAAGAGACAAGACTAAAAATTAAAAATAGACTCAATGAATGAACTGTCAACGTTACAGAAAATATGTAAAAAAAATGTATGACTCTAATGAGTAGTTTTGTTAACATCTATGCACAACCTTCCATTGATTGGCTGGTAGGACTTGCTGAGTGGGAAAATCTGAGCCTTTTTTATTTTTCACTTTTACTGGAATTTAAGCTGTTTTCATGTAATATATTTATTTTTACACTAATTTTCAGTGCTTGATCTTGTAGTGAACTAGGCCACCTCAACCTGTCTCTGAAGACCTTCAGGGGACAGGAACTGTTATTTCATTGATCTGAATCCAGAAATACAAATTATCTCATCAAGAGACTATTTAATTGTATCCTGAATTAATCAATTGAAAGAACACTCTTCCTTTTTACATTATCATTACTATTTTTAGAATATCTTGATAATCAAAGTGTGTTTAGTTCATACCATTCCTAAATGTTGAAGTGAACCACTCATTTAAATCAACTGTGAAACAGTATTAATGATTTTTAAACCTCATTAGACTTAGAAATCAAGTTAAATGCCTATTTACAAAGTAATTGTGCATTTTGATCTTCTGTCTGAATGAGTGGATTTGATGTCGGTCAGAAGTCAGGGATGTCGGTCAAAAGTCAGAAAGCAAGTTATGAGAACGAAGTGCCTTGTTTTAAAACTCAGCAGACAGTAAATAAGAAGCAACTGGCACCTGCTTCCTCTCACCTCTTATAAACATTTATCCGTCTGTACTAACCGTTCCTAAACATTCCTGCATCCCCTCTTGACTTTTAATAACCCTCTGACATCACTGAAACACCACCCCTGCTGGTTGTTTCAACCAATCAGGAAGTACCAAGTGACAGGAAGTGAGTACTCTTTAAAAAGTCAACACTTCCTGGGACTATTCAGTCTTCTTAAAGTCTTCCTGCAGTCTTCCTTGAGTCTATGAAGTCTTCCCAGGAGTCTTCCACTTCTGAGTTGAATCTCTGACTGAAGTCTTACTGCGAGTTCCTAAGGAACTTTCAGATTTAATCAATAGCTGATGGATTTGACCGTGAGAC